TTACACACATTGGTATATATCTGTGCAAATAGAAATTAGAAGATATTCACACATTGTTGTCATCTTCACCACTGGACTTTTTCTGTGCCCATATTAAAGAAATGTTTTTCAGACTATAAAGGTGCTTATAACATATGACTGCAATCGTATTATTTTAAAAAATAATGAAGCCCATGTACCCATGCTTATATAAAATGATAAAGGCAGATACCTCGGAAGGCATATAACCTCAGAGATTACAATCCAGGTGGTGGAACTTTGCTGCGCTAGTATTTGGAATTTTCTTTATTGGGAAATTCACTGGGTGGAACAGAGAAAGAGGGATAAGGATTGTTAGTAAACTGTGTTGATGGCTTTTTTCTTCTAACATTCCAGTGGGTGTTTTAAATGAAAGTAAGGAAAAGTGTGTTACAAGATGAGAACATTTGTGAGCTTTCCAGCATCTCAATCAATGAGCCTTCATTTTTGTTTCTAATTTGAATCCTGGTTTATTTAGAAAAGGCAGTATTTTTTTAAATGCTCTGAAAACAATCAAGATTAAATTCCAATTGTGCTGAGTAAAAGTAAATTCACATCCTAAAGATCACATACCAGTGTGTGCTGTAGGATTTCACAGGTCACAAAGAGATCGTGTGTGTTAGTTCATGAGACATACAGAAGTCATCTAAGAGAGAAGAGTGAGAAATAGAAATAGCCCCATTTCATAGGAAACCCAGCTCAGAGCCTTGGCCAAGGTCATGGGACTAGTCATGGAGTTGGGAGTAGATTCAGGTTTCCAATCCCTAATCCAGTGTTCTTGGTGGCTTCTCTACCACTTGGACTTGGGGGTAAATCACCTCACCTCTCTGAGTCCCAACTTCCATATTCCCATAACATATACTTATTTCCTGTACTTCACAGAGTTATTTTGAGAATCAAATTATACAATTTAATGGTTCTCAAAGTGTGATCTTCAGGCCAACAACAGCAACATTTCCTGGGGACTTGTTAAAAATGCAGATTCTCAGGCTGCACCTCAGACCTGAGTCAGAAACTCTGGGAGTGGACCAGCAGTCCATGTTTTAACACTCCCTCCAGGGAGTCTGATGCACACTGAAGTTTGAGAACTTCGGATGATATGTGTGATGTATGATTTCGAGAGAAGTAAAGCATTACAGAAATTTAGTAAAGCATTACAGATGCTTTGTTTTAATTAAGGTAAAATTCATGTTATGTAGTGAAACACAAAGATCTTAAATGTACAGTTCCATGAATTTTGATATGATGCCATCACTGCTTCGGTCAAGGTACGGAACCTGTTCCTCTCTCAATAAGGTTTCCTCGTGCCTCCGTCTGTCAGTCCCCACCCTGCTTAGGGGACTGCCTGGTCAGTGACAGACTTTTCATCAGAGGAGATAAGAGAACCTGGTGATGGGTTGGACATAGAGCAATATTATATTTTCATGTTCCTTTACTATTTATAGATAACATTCCTTTTTAAATTACTAAGCATAACTCTCTGTTGTTTTTCAGCCAATGGACCAAGCTTCTCTCAAAAACAGTGATGTTCTCGTTTTGACGGGGCTTACCCAGATTCCCACTGCAAACCCAGATGGCATGGTGGGGGAGTTCTGCAGCAACCTAGGTATGTAACCACCTCAAATCTTAAGTTGGATGCTACATCTTGAATTTATTTTTTGATACTCTGTAGTATTTTTCCCCCTCCCTTCACATTTATACCTCTGAGTCCCCTTTTAAGGCATTTCACCCCCTCCCCATTTACTTCCACCGTTTCTGCCCATCCTTCTGAGCCTACCGTCGTCAGTAAGAGCAATTCTCAAGTAACTTAAATCCGAAGGTGCAGTAAGAAAGGTTGTAAGTAAATTAGAATCTTTAGCACTGTATTACAACAAATACTCAACATCTTCTCACAGACCATTTTTATCTACCCCCCTTGCCTTTTGGTGGGATTTGGTGGGGGGAGGGAGTATTACAGAGAGTAGCAGTTGTCAAAGAAGGCAAGAATCATCTTTGCTTTGCCAGTGTTATAATAGCACAGAAAAGACTATTTCACTTTGAATACACAGCACTGATACAATGAGCAGATGTATTTTTTCCCCATTAAAATTTGGTAGGTTTTATGTTTCCTTGTTTGGAGGAAGACTAAATTGAGAGATGGTGTTTTTTACTTGAAAGAAATTTATTTTCCTTTGGATATAATTGTCAGTGAAATCTAGAAATCTTGCCTTTCTTTTAGAAAGATATGTTGTTTATTGTCTTTGCTTGGGCTGCCATAACAAAATACCACAGTTCTGGAGACTAGGAAGTCTGAGACCAGGGTGCCAATATGGTCATGTCGTGATGAAGACCTTCTTCATACTTGCAAATGGCCACCTTCTTGCTGAGTCCTCACATGAAGAGAGGAAGCCGTAATGTCTCTTCCTCTTCTTACAAGGGCACTAATCCCATCATGGTGGCTCCACCCCCATGACCTCATCTAAACCTAATTACCTCCCTAAAGTTCCTACCTCATAATATCATCACATTGGGGGTTAGGACTACACATGTGAATTTTGGGGAGGAACAGAAATATTCAGTCCATACCAGTTACCAAAGGGGCGTTAATGAGCTCAGAACTTTAAGTGATATTACCTCTGCTCTAGGAAAGAGAAATAGTCATCTTCTTATATTTACATGGAAGGCATTACCCTTTGAAATTTCACTTAGCCATGCTAATAATCATAGTCTATTTTTCTTCCTTGCTGATATTAAGGCAAAGGTCATTTATTCTTACCTTGGAAAAATTATTGGACTAATTTCAAATAGAATCTTTGTTTTGTATGTTTCACTACAAGCTAGAATCACAGACTCAAAGAACTTTGGGTTTGAAAGCCACTGCACATCAAATCTACTGTCTCTCAAAGTGGAGTGCACTCACCACCTGCCTCAAGATTAACGAGGCTGCTTATTAAAAATGCAAATTTGGGGGTCCTACCATAGACCTAGTAAATCAGAATCTCTGGGGAAAGGAAAGACTCAGAAGAAAAGCTGCATTTTCAACATGTTCTCTGGTAATTTTCATACCAAACTAAAGCTTGAAAGTCACAGATCTCATTCATTCCTTTCATATAACGGATGAGGAAACTGAGGGCCAGCAAGGTTGTGGTGGCTTACTTGTGGTCCTGTGTCTTGGGACAAAGGTAGGATTTGAGCCGGGCTCTTGAGCCAAAACCAATGATGTTGATTTTCTCTAATGTACCATACTCCAGTAATAGCAAGTCTACCATTGCTCAAATTACAGCACCTAGCTGAACCTGTACGTAAGAGTTGGGAACAGAGGAGGATATGAGGCATCAAAGATTCTTTGCACAAAAGCCACTGTATCGATTTGTTTTGGAAACTAAACGAAAACAAACTTGAGTAGGCACTTTGATTGGGTTGTTTTTTTTTTTTTTTTAAGCCAGTAATAACTTTTAATATGATTAAAACCCATAAGTTGCAATTCCTCATTTAATAACTTATTTTAAGTATTTAAAGTATAGAGGATTTTCTTATGAACAAAGGTTAATGAAAGAAAAAAGCACTAAAATGAATCAAGTAGAAAGACTTAGCCTGTTTCCTTGTAGGTCATGTAGCCATGGTCAGAGACTGAAGAGAGACAAATCCAGCCAGTCGTTGAGCAGGGTCTAGGAAGAGAAGGAGCTTGGAGGTTCTGTCCTGAAGCTCAGCTGCCCTTGGTAACCTTCACCCAAACCCTTAATTGCACACCGTATTCCCAGGGATGTAGATTAGACAATGATGGAAAAATCAGCTGTCACCCTCTAGAGTCCCCTTGGTGTGTTCTTCAAAAGAAGCAGATTATTTTACATGTGAGTGAATTATAAAAACAGAAGTAAGAAAACAAAATAAATGCAAATATTATTTTAAAAGTTATATTCTACCTTTATAACACTGTTCTTCTGATACTTTTTTTTCCCCCTCTGGCTTCGACTTTTCTAGCCCTGACAGTCCGGAATGGAGGAAACGTGTTGGTTCCCTGCTACCCTTCTGGAGTGATCTATGACCTCCTGGAATGCCTGTATCAGTACATCGACTCAGCCGGCCTCTCCAGCGTCCCCCTGTACTTCATCTCCCCCGTGGCTAACAGCTCACTTGAGTTTTCCCAGATTTTTGCTGAGTGGTATGTCAGTGTGTTTCTCTATGAATTCTGTTTGATTCAGGATATTCAGGCAGTAAGAACAAAAATAATCTGTCTTTTTCTCACATTACTATTAAACTTACTACTTCGGAATGATTTTAGATTCACACAGAAGTACAAAGATAGTACAGAGAGTTCCCATATACCTTTCCCTCGGTTTCTCCTAATGTTAATGTCCCACATGGCCATAAACATTTGTCAAAAAAAGAAATTAACATTAGCACATTAGTAACTAAACTCCAATCTTTATGCTCATCGTACCAGTTTTTCTTCTAACATCCTTTTTCTGTCCCAGGACCCAATCCAGGCTACCACACTGCATTTATGCCTTTGATTTTTTTTTTTTTTGACAAGAGTTTTTTAGTTTTACATATTGATAATTTTAGTATCTTTTGTGATTTCTTCTATTGGTATAATATTTAGAAAATTCTTTCCCCTGTAGAGATCACATGACTAAACATATTTTCTTTAATTTTTATTATGGTTTCTTATTTTCTTCTTTTTTGACCCCCAACTGTTTTATCTGAAATTTGTTTTAATGTATCATATGAAGAGAAGTGTTAACTTTACTTTTTTCCCAAATAGTCAAGTAATCACGTGTCCAGATACTATTTATTGAATAATGTTACCTTTTTCAACTGATTTGTATTAATATCAAATGCTAAACTTTTATATGTACTAGGTTTTGTTTCTAGACTATCCTGATTGCTTTGTCTATCCATGCTTTGGCCAGTGTGGTGCTAATATCTTTTAATAACTGTAGCCTCATTTATAATTGTATGAGATATTCTTATTAATTTTTGTGTGAGAACTACAGAACTACTTTATCAATTTTCAGAGTGCATGAAACCTATAAATTACAAACTGACATCTTTTTGGTAATATTCCCATCCTGAGACATGAGATATGTTGGTCTTTTAAGTTTATTTGAATATCCCTCCCTTAGAATCTTAAACTCAGAGATCACATAATTACTTTGTCTTGTTTCCAGCTATAGTTTTATTTAGTTCAATCCATACACCTTTGTTAAGTGCCACCATGTCTTAAGCACTGGGCATACAAAGGGTTCTCTGACCTCAAGGAATCTGTACCTTGAAGGAAAAGGCAGTTGTGTAAATCTCCTATCATTTGTCCTCCTGGGCTCTGGGCTTCCCAATTCACAGAGGTTCTGCTCTGGCCTCCACGTGGTCCTGCTTTGGTACCTACAGAAGCCCAGCTCTTTGTCATCCCAGTGTCTCCCCTAGCTCCAGGCTAAGGGCTTGCTTGGTGGTTTGGGTTTGTTTTTGCAGGAGGTGGAGATGGAAGGGACTGGCTCCTAAAGACCTCTAAGATCTTTTGTTGGACAAGCAGTGCCCTGGAGAGTGTGTATACCTGAGGTCTGGCTGTCAGGGAGCAGGAAAGGTCTCTTAGACTCTCAGTTAGAGATGATTCTGGAGGTACCATTTATTCCTCATTCTTCCTGATAACCCAGTAAGTGTAGATCCCCTGTTAAACTCCAGCTCCAGAAGAAGCAAACTGTAATCGGCTCCTTCAGCCTCTCTGGGAAAGGGTGTGGGTCCGTGTCTGTTGTGCCTGTGAGGATTCTAGAACAGAGCATGAAGGAGCCGTTTCTCTGAACTGGCCACAGACACCTTACGTAAGTGGACTTCACTACCTCTAATCATGTTGCAATCTGCTCTGTCTCCCTAATCTCTCCCTTCTAATGGAGGTAGCATAATGTCCTTGGAACAATCTAAATAACTTTGGAACTTTTGAACTATAATATCTATTTTAGAGATTATAAGGTAACCCTGCAAAAGCATGTTGCTTCCATATTTGTATCTTCTTCCAAAAAGGATATAAAACAATGTTTTTGAAATCAAGATTAAAGGAAAGTAAGGGTAGGAAAAATTAGATGTATTGTTAATAAAAATCCAAGCCCTGAAGTCCTGAACTCCTCCCCCAAAAGTAGTACCCACTGGAATTGTTTAAATGCTTTCTTATTGTTTGGATAGACTTCTTAGAAGTAGATTCTAACAAACGTACATTACTATACATATTTTTTTCCAACTTTTAAAAAATGTCAAACCTACACAATACCCACGTACATTGATTTATCAATTGTAAACTTTTTGCTGCATTTGCTTTACCCAGACCTCTCTGTATTTTAAAGTCATAGATTAGGAAAAAACATAGATTACCTAAAACATTCACAGTGTCTCCAGCCTGAGACCCTCAGTTACTCTCCAGCTGGAGTTAGCAATGCTGCTATTAATGAAATAGTGCATGCACAAAGAAAGTCATGGCTCTGAAAACGGTAGATCACTTTCTCCTCAAAATTGACCATAACTAGATGCCATATGCTATCTTGGATTGGATCCTGGAACATAAAAAGGACATGAGTGGAAAAACTGGTGAAATCCTAATGAAGCCTAAAGTTTCGTTAATTGTAACGTACTGATACTAATTTCCTAGTTTGACA